TGGAAGTATTGTGGATCATGCAATCTGGTGAAGGGTGCACCTTGACTCGTAGAACCATATTTCTCAAATATGTTATGTCTTAACTCAGCAAACATGGGCTTTTCTTGTGGTGATCACAAATTCTTTCTAGGCTACTTCCCTTGGCCTCATTAAGATTTGCTAAGACATAAAACATCAATTAATCCACCCACTTTCAGACAGTTTTCAGCAAAGAGCCTCAACTGCTTTTCATGGCACTGAAGAGTCTTACATCAATAAAATTGTGACACGGTATGATTAATAACAACATCGTGTAAACAAACATAAAATATAGCATCAAATATTGAAACAGAGATATGCTGAACAGAGCATTATGCAATTTTAATATAGTACTTTAATAAATCTAACAAACATGTTTAAGCAAGTTGTAAGAAAGTTTGACCAAACTCTGGGAGGCAGTGGAAGACAGGAGGGATTATCATGCTCTGGTCCATGGGGTCATGAAGAGTTGGACACGACTTAACAACTAAACAACAAGAAAGCCTCCTCCCATTGCATGGGGGCAGTTTCCAGTTTTTTAAATATAGGATTCCAGTTTAAATACAGGAACACTGGCACTTGGATGTGCTCTCATGAATCACTGACAGGACTAGAATATGTGATCAAGTCTGTGTGATGGCATCTATGGCAGCTCATAGGGGCCCAAAGAGTCCTTAGAAATATCATAAAGCAATTCTCAGGTGGCGCGCAGACACTGGTTATGTGAGAAGTGGGCCCCCATCATTTTCCACAAAGCTGCAAAGCATGGCATGTATTTTAATTGCACTACTGAGAAACTTCCCCTAAGCAGCTAGTTATTTTTAAACCAACAGCAAATAAGAAACCACTTCTCCCACCTGAGGTGAATTGAGATTAAGGCTGTGACTACATAGGCAAATGCTTCAGTATAAATGGACAAAAACAATTAAACCTTTTTTTTTAAAACGTCCAATTAAAAACACTGTGTTTTGAACTGTAAGGCTGAAGTATTGAAGTGTTATTATTTAAAAGTGATTAAAAAAAAAAAACAGAAAAGACCCAAAACAGAAAATGAAGAAAACCTCTCAGTGGAGGTTACTCCTCAACGTGAGTGCTGCCACTAAAAAGGCCCGTTCCCTAATTATCCCTAGCATTTCATCTCTTTTGAAATAATGACAGAAGGCTGATTAAAATACTTACTAAAAACATAAGTACTCTCCGCTCTGGGAATATAGACAGGTATATCAACCTGCTTTCTTCACAATTGTCAGATAGATATTTCAAGGAAATCCATGGGCAGGATAACTATATTTCACTTTTACTCCCAAGAAAGAAGTGAATCTGGCTTCAGTGTCATCAGCCATGTGGATTTGGGACATTAATAACAGCATATAAGGTGGAACCATTTACAAGAACTTGATGCACAGCCTTGAGGAAAATGCTTTATCATTGAACGCTCACTGTTTGTTTTCTGTTTTCTGTTTCCTGTATTTGTCTTGATTCCATGACCGTGAGGCCTGTTCCTGATTTCTCCTAATTTTGAACTTGTCAATAGTCAACCATCACTGATGGTACCCACAGCTAGACAAACTCTATATGACATTTTAAACACACTGAAATGGAAAGCCACTTTCAACAGGATTGGCCCTACCATTAGGCAAAGTGATGCAGCCACATCAACAATTCAGTTCGAGATATAATGAAAGCAGCAGGTTCTTAGATTTCTAAAAGGCACATTATCTTGTTGTTGTTGTTGTTTAGTAGCAAGGAATGGGAAATTTTCTCCTACAGATGCCCATAGAATCTGGCTGGTCTTTGGTACTTCACATCTTGATGTGGTAGTATGCCAGTTTCTATTCTGCCTCGGGCAACAGCATCAGACAGACTGAGGCAGCTGTTACAAGAACCTGATCTGGGGTGACATGAATTGGCAGCAAATTGTTGTTATTGTTGTTTTGCTGTTTACTACCATATAAAAGGGCAAAGGAAATTGCTGCCTCAAGCTAACTCAATTCAACCTTCTCATCCTCAGTCAGTAAAATACATTAAATTCTTCAGTCTGTTCACAAGCACAACCTGAACATTCTCTCTCTCTCTCTTTCTCCCCCTTTCAAAGTTTCTAAACAAGTCCTTTATGTTGATATACATAAATGAGTGAGAAGAACAGAGACATTCCAGCACATCTACAGCAACCTGCCTATCTGAAACCAATTCAGAGCAGGTCCCCCAACCTGTCACTCTCCAATATACAGGATACAACTCATGTCACCTGCAGCTAGTATGGCTTCATTTTCCCAGTCAGAATAGTAAGCAGCCATGCTGGGTGGGGATGATGCAAACTGTGGTTTAATGCACTGGTTCTTAACCTTGGGTTACTCAGGAGTTTTGGACTGCAACTCCCAGAAGCCTTCACCACCAGCTGTGCTGGCTGGGGTTTCTGGGAGTTGCAGTTCAAAAGCATCTGAGTAACAAAGGTTAAGAACCACTGAATGCATCTTAAAATTCCTAGTAGGTACAGACTGGTTTAAACGGCACTTTAAATGTTAGCATTTTTAAATGCTTGGCAGGAAAAATAGTTGAATGCAGTACTAGAAGCAAAATTTGTGCCTCCCCCAAAGGGGCCTGGGAGGGCATTTTAGAGTCAGGATGCTACCACAGAAGAAGCTGTGTCTTTCACATGTGTATTTTTCACAACACTGGCACTTAGAAGGACTTTCTCTGAAAACTTTAATGTATAGTTATTGGTGCTGAACTGCTGGATAGCTCAGTGGTTCAGAGGCTGGGAGTTCAATTCCCCACTGTGATTCCTTGAGAGGGGCTGGCCCAGATGATCTATAGGGTCCCTTCCAGCTCTGCAGTTCTAAGATTATCTGGGATTATTGTAGGCAGGATATTATAGGAACAACCCTCTTTCAGATATTTATACCCTCTCTATTTACGATTTTAAAGGCAGCCAATACAATTCCTTGAGAATAGATGTGAGATGACACTGTCTAAGTAAACTGGGTAGGATTCCAGCAGAATTCTGCACCAATCAAAGCTTTCCAAGGGCAGCCCTACTTGTAACACATGTGCAAGTGTGTTCCAATTTAGTAGAGGAGTAGTTTTCAGTGTTTTGTATCTTACATCCCATAAATAACTGGATCAAAGAACCTGGGTTGCACCATGATAGAGCTACAAAACCCACTTTTTCCATTGTGGATGTATTATGGATGCATTATTGTACTGTCATATCCATCATTTAGGTAAGCTGTAAGGAAGAAATTCACCAGAACTGCTTGTTGATATAGAACTGTTGACATTTTTCCTGTGGCTAGAGCGGCTTCTGAAATTTTGGGGTGAGGTGCATCTCATGCTGCTCCAAGAGCTGCTGCTTCTTGCCTTGGGTTGTGGTTACATGAGGACTGTCACAATGAGCATCTCTTGCTTGAAAATTTAGTACGACATCAATGCCGATAATGGTTTAGCAGACCCATAGCAGCAAACTAGGTACTGAAAAGCAGAACTGGGAATCGTCAGCATACTAATGGCACTTCACTTCAAAGTCCTCGATGACCTTTGCCAACAGCAGGGAGGACAGGATGGGATCCTGCAGAATGTCAGTGCTCAAATCCCTTGGGGCTGAACAAAAACTCTGTGGGGGAAGGATACTGTATCACCATAGCTCCTCCTGGTCTCTGTTAGCAAAGGAAGCAGCACCAAGTAGCAACTATGGTAACTTGTGGATTCAGGCCCCAAATATCCAAACGGTTAGCAAAGCACACTTCCACCTTTGGGAAAGGAAATCCCAAATTCTAATAAAATAAGGACGCTAGTTTTTATTTGAGAAATTCATTGAGATAGGGAAGCTAATAAGAATCCTGATTTTCGCAAAGAGATATGGAGATGCAGGGAGACACGGGCTACTCCCTCCCCTCTTGAGAAAAAGGCAAGGCGTCTCCTCCCTTGGATAGGTTCTATGTGAGAAGGCTGTAAGTGACATGAGCAAACCCATGAATATCAGTATAGGTTGAGAAAGGTCAGCATGGGCCTGTGGGAAACTGACTGAGGTCCTTCTCTCTATATGTGAACATGAACCTTCTCCTGTGTAAGCTGAGTTATATGCAGTCACCCCAACAGTCCCCAAACCTCCCAAAGTCCAGCAAATCACGGACCATCTGGACAAGTTCAAGCTTTTGTCAGTCCTGAAACTCCAAAGTCAGTTTCACGGAAGGTCCTACTACTATGAGTGAAAGAGCAGCAAACTTTTCTTTATCCCGTTTCCCTTCACCACGCAACATTAAAGGACACACGAAAACACAGCCACCCACCCACCCCTAATTCTGCATCTCTGAGTCAAGACAGGCCTTGAAAAATTCATTCCATCCAAGACAATGTGGTCGGTTGATTTCCCACAAAACCGAAGTGCTCTTCTTGAACCATCCACTGTCGTTTCAGGTCAGAGAAGAGAAAAAGAGCTCATCCTGCGTGTTCGGGTTTTTCTTTCTCACGGTCCTCAGTGTCGAACGCCCACACGGCAGTCCTACGAGTGAGTCGGCAGCCCGGTTGGCCTGTCATCGTGGCCACCCTTCCCGCGCGGAGTCGACCCCCCCCCCTCAGGACGCCCGTCCAGTTAAGCCTGCTTAAGGCCGGGGGAGCTACGCGTGGTCCTTAAAGCACGAAGCTGGTCCTGGCCGAGCCCCGGGAGCGGAGCCCCGCCGAAGTCCGTCCCTGCCCCCCCCTCGGGGCTCCTCTCTGAGCACCGTTGGCCCACCGCGTCCTTTCTGCTTCCGGAGGCGGTGGCGGCGGCCTCAGCCTCAGCAGCAGCTTTCTACAAGCCGTGAAAGTTTGGTGAAGTCTCAGATTTCTGAGGTACCCACAAAGAGGACACCCCAGGAAAGTTTCTCCCAGGCACCTAGAGACACCAACATTCAAGAGAAGCGTCCCCTGACTCTTCTCTACAATGGTGAACATTGGGGTTTGGACATCCAAGGTGGGTCCCCTCTCAGGAACACCGCCGCCGTCTCCTCCTCCTCCTCCTCCTCGCCAGGTCCCAGCCCCGCACTGTCTCGGTATAAAAGCGCCGCCGCCTCCCCGCCCTCCCTCACTCGCCCAGCTGCCTGGAGCGCGGTGGTGCCTCTCGGAGCGCGCTGGTTTCCCCTGCCGAGGGAGGCGCCCTTGGAATTAATATTCCCCCCCCCTTTTTTTCTCTTCCCCCCCTTCCTCCCGTCGCCTCCCCTCTTTCGCCGCCGGAGGGAAGGAGGGGAGCCGAAGGGGACGCGTCGAGGCGGAGGCGCGGCGCTCGCCTGGCCAGGATGGCGACGGTGGTGCAGGAGCCCGAGTCGGAGCCCTCTTGCAGCCTCCCCAACGCGGTCCCGCCCTCGCCCAGTCTGTCGCACCGCTTTCTCGACAGCAAGTTCTATCTGCTGGTCGTGATCGGCGAGCTGGTCACCGAGGAGCACCTGAGGAGGGCCATCGCCAGCATAGAGCGAGGTAAGGCGGCTGCACCCCCTTCCCCTTCCCCTGCCTCTGCCTCGCTCGGCCACCCCGGCCTCGTCTCCCGCTCCCCTGAGAGGAGCGCCTGCCTTCCCCTCATCCGCAGATACAGGCGCCGGGGAGGAGAGGCTCGGGAGGCGACCTACAGGTTGCACGACAAAGTCCGTCTCTTTCC